TGGCTCAGAAAAATGCAAAATACCAAATATATCAATATATACAAGCGGACAAGATCATTTCACAGGTTATATTCAGTCTTTGCCAAAAAGGCAACGATAAATCTGCCAATTTATTTTTTATCAATCTCTTGGATATTTTCCATCAAGCATTGCTCAAATTATCCGCTCCCACTTCAATGCATGATTAATCTCCATTCAATGAGAAAAGTTTACACTGCCTAGAGATTAATACTGAAACAATCTTTAAAATATTTCATCTCCTTTGTTCGCGAAGTATACTTCTTCTAGGCGGATTTTCCTTTAAAATATAAGTGATCTGTCAAACCATGATTTGCATTGTGCTTGTCATTTAAAAGTCCATAGCAGGTCTTCACAGCTATAGAAAATACCTTACATTTGAGCAGAGCTGCGCTGAGCTCTAATGCGGACAGTTGTATATTTTCGACATAAATGCTCTTCCAAGATGGATCAAAAAATGTTAACATGCATAATAGTCAAGGATGTGTCTTCCGAATAGGTTTCAAGGATAGATGGAACTAGTTTGAAATTAGAACTGAAAAAAAATAGATTATTGAAATGAACGCCCTTCACGTGAGCTGATAAGCAGTGCAGACCAGAAATGCTTAGTTTTGCCAGAACACCAGATCCTAGAAGATATTGGAAACTTATCATGAACACACAGCAAAATGAACAAACCAGAAAATGGACGTAGCATCAAGAATCTTGAGCAAACCCGCACTTTCGGACATTTACATTTGAGTAGTCAAGACATCAACAACGCTGTTTTGCTGGTTCAGAGCTCTGAGGTCGTTCTTCGCAGGTGTTTTCACAAGGTTGACGATTCCTGTGGATGGCGTTGTTTGTGTAATGCATTTCCTTTTCAATGGCAACGCTTTTTCATTGGTTGTGCTGGAACGCTGAATGGGTGATCAAATTAAAAATAATCATTGTTCATCGTTGGTTTCAGCTTGCGAATGGCGGAACTGCGCTGAATGCTATAATTTACCATTTATTAATGAGTGCCAAAATCTTATGTCACTGTAAACCAGCTTTCATTCAAAACAGCGGATGCGCCTATCGATTGATTTTCTAGGTTAATGAATTATTTAGCTTAAGGTTGAAACGTTGGCCTGGTCCATTTATTCTGCATTTGCATAAACATGCCATCACGTTGAATGCTTTGGCAGAAGATAGGTTAATAGTGTTTCGAATCTTCTAAACTTTTACCCAACCACTTGCACTTTCTCGCACACGATATGACAGTACATGGAACAATGTTCAAAGGCACAAATGATAATGCCTCTGTCGTGTCGGCATCTACAGACACTAAAATCATATGCTCATTTTTTATAGTGCATTAGTACTTATTCAAGTAAATGGTTTGTCTTCAGAGAAAATAAATGCATATTTTTATTTATGGCTGTAAAATTTAAAACTGATTGTTTAGTGTGCAGTCACTGTTCAATTCGAGCAAGTTCCAAAACAACTGCTTATCTGAACCACCCATCGAAAGGGCCAAACTTGACGTGGTTGTCGCCCACACACATTTGGATGAGTGTCTTACTGAAGCCAGGTTCCTGGATTGAATACCACGAAGGTTGCGTATTTGGTTACAGAATATTAATGGTGTAGCAGCGGTACTTAGACTTAGCTATGCTAATATATCCATTCTCATTTGTCCATTATCTTTCTTTTCGAATAATATTTCTCAAGACTCACTGGATGACATGCTTCTTCATGCCGTTGTGCTTTGCTATCGCTGAACCTTTCGCGTCTGTCGATCATGAGTCATGTGATTGTCTCAATGATGTATTTCTGAAAATGAAGTTTACATAAGTTCTTCATTTCATTTGAAACTTCCCTGCAAAGATGTGCCTTTACTCCAAGTACTGATAAGATTTTATCTACCACAAAGGAGTACTGGAGAGTAATCCTGGCCACGGATCGAATTCATTATTTTTCAGTGATAAATAATTTCTTTGCGACGAGTGGTGCATCATATTCCAGATGAGACAGAAGCACAAATAGCCGTAATATTCTAAACTTGTTTAAATATTGCCGGTTGCATTACTATACGATTCGCGTTGATTCCAATGATCTGGCTGATATATGGGACTAGGAGACGTAGGGGGAAAGCAGGCAGTCTCATATCAGGGTCCTGACCTCCGTGAAGCTCCCGGCACTTAGTTGCGACCTCATCGTGCGAATCCCGGGTACACGAGTCTCGCGTATATGGATAAGACATATTCAATTTGCTGCATAACGGTAACAAACCAAAGCTTGTCTCTTGGCTTACAATAATCGTGACCAATTCGAATTGGTCTTACCAAAGACTGGACTAAGTACTGTTTGAAATATAGCCTATTTTATAATGGTTTAGTTCACGAGGAACGCCAGTTGAAAATGTTGGGTGCCTCAAAGGTTCAATTTTCACCGTGTTTCCAAGGACAACCGACGAGCCGTGAGCGTTAAGCAAAAAGCAACACGAATTGGCCTGTTTAGCAGCAGACTTACAGAATCGATTTTCCCTCTCCGTCGAAACGTTGTTCATGTTCAAGGTGACGATCGGCTGTGTTTCTGCCAGTAGAGCATTTCTTCGTCATTTAAACAGCTTCCCGCTCTTTCAAAATCCAAGAGCGGGAAACGAGAAAGTCACCGGTTTTCAAACTACCTGCGGCGTTCAAGCGGTGTTAGCAACTTGTAACGTATTCCTTGTTTATTGCGCAATGTGTCTAAGCTGGTAATGCAAAACTGTTATGCCTTGCTTATGGAGTAAACTATATGAAAAAGTAGTTGATCGTGTTCTTCATCGGTTTCGATAAATGTAAATATGTTCCTTGCTCCTTGTTCATGTTGTTCAAAGTCGTAATTATAGTATTCTTTAATGAGACTGTTTTTTCATACTTATGAAGAGCAATATCCTACGATATTTTTTGCAATATCGGTGTCAGTGCGTTGAATGTAATAAATAAGCACTGAGGAAAGTAGGAGCTTAATTCGAAGGTCAATGTTTACGAGCTTATAAGATATATATACATACTTTTTATCGAAAGGATTGAAAGCCACAGTTCGAATTAATCGCTTTTTAAGGCAACAGAAAATCATATCATGCTATTAACTACCC